TGTGTTCTTCAGTCTTCGGGTTACCAACATGATGTTTTCAGAAGACCTGTTTAATAAAAACTCCCCTGAATACAAAGCCTTGGAGCAGCGATTCTTGGAACTGGTAAGAGTCACTTGTGTGCTAAATGTCCATTACCAGATAGACGAAAACTGTTGGTAAATTATATTTAGTCATCCCTTACAGAGAGCAACTCAAAACTGGTGTTTACATATAAGATTTGTGTCCCTCTGTGGGGAAAGCTCCATCTGGAAATGGGTGGTGGGATGCTGTTCATCTCTTATTCAGATAATTGTCTCTCTAAAGGAGAACTCCTCAGCATCGTGGACCAGCTGCTCTGCTGGTGGCAATGAATACAGCAGTGTAGCTGAAGTCACTGCTACATCCCCCTATTTGCTTCCAGAGTGCTCTGTATGTAGTGTCTAGGGAGGAAGAAGCAAGAAAACCTGGGGCTGTGAGCAGGTAACTTCTGCAACACACTCAACCTGTCCTAATTAAGAGGTAGCTCAGAGAATTAAGCTGTTCCTAACCTGACTGATGACTAGGAAAACCTCACAGGAGTTACACAGCAACAACTGACAAATTTTAACTGGGAAATTCCCCTCTTCTGACTGAAACAAACATTCTCCTGTGAGAGATGAAGGAAGCAAAGCAGAGAGAGGGAAGTGGGACATGATAAAAGAAAAAACCCTGTGAAATGGCAAGTATTCCAGGTACTTAGGTCAAGGGAGAACACAACATGTGTCCTGAGAACTGTGTTTCTGAATTGTATAATTTTAGAAACTCCTTGCAAATTGCTATACTCTTAAGTACTGCCTGAAGTATTCAGGCTCCTGGCAGGCTGCCAGCACAGACCTCCTCTGGGTAAAGATTAATGGCCTTGAGGTTGGATTTGGATGTAAGTACTGCCTGAAGTATTCAGGCTCCTGGCAGGCTGCCAGCACAGACCTCAGCTGCCAGACCTCAGCTGGATAAAGATTAATGCCCTTGATGTTGGATTTGGATAAAATCATTCAGACTCTAATTGTAACAGTGCAACTGGCTTGATCAGAGAGAGACTCAAAGACTCAGCTTTTCTGTCATATCCCGTGTGTTGCAGCTGGTGCCCTACCTTCAGTCAAATCTGACAGGATTCCAGAATCTGGAAATCCTGAACTTCAGAAATGGCAGCATTGTCGTGAACAGTCGAATGAAATTTGCCAAACCTGTGCCTCGGAATGTCACCAATGCTGTGTACATGATCCTGGAAGATTTCTGCAACACTGCATATCACACCATGAACCTGGCCATCGATAAATACTCCCTGGATGTTGAATCGGGTAAGGACAGCAGGAAAATGCAGCTTAAAGCAAGGGATCCAGAAGAATGTCTGGTTTAAGTGCTAAGGATCCCAACAGCTCAGAGGCTGCCCAGTGCTCTTCACAGGCTGAGCTTTAGAAAGACAGTCTTTCATAGAGTAAAAACAAACAAATGAAAATCTGCTCTGCGACTAAAGAAATGAACGTCAAAGTGGGACCCAGACAGAAAAGTTGTATGGGGTCCATATAGATTTCTGGAGAAAAGATAACTCATGGAATACTCTGTATAATGTCCCTGTATTTGACCTGGGGAGTGGACAGCTCAGGGAGCACGGTGGTGTCCATCTCTCCTGTGCTTACTTTCATGTGTGGTTTGAACTTACTCCACATGGTTATTCCCACAGGTGGTAGCCAGTTTACCTGCCAGGTGGGCATCTGCACAAGTTGCTGCCTCATGCTTGTGGTAAGGTCTTGGTTGCACTAAAAAGTCACAGGCCCTCTTGCTTCACTTCTCTGATATAGGGAGAAGCTTGTTTTGGTTTTTTCCCCTGTCCAAGTCAGCCAGTAGTTTACCACATTTTCAACCTGGAAATATCTCCTGTTTTAAGGTTAGAGAAAAATAAGAGTGCTGACCTGTTGGCTGTTCTTCCCAGATAGGTCTCTTACAAGGATGGTCTAATTAGCATGGCAAATGTTCTGATATTGATTGTTTAGCTGTATGCCAGCCTCTTAAGCCCGATACAAGTGAGATATCTTGAATGCCACAAGCTCGTGCTCCTTGCAGACAAAAAGGCAAATCCCCTTGCAGCAGATGGTGAGTGTCTGAAGTCCCACTGCCCTTCTCCATATGCTGCCTAGGTTTTCCATAGCAAGAAATACTGGAGATCACCTGTGATTTACTCATTTTTAAGAGAGAGTTCCAGCAGACAGAGAAAATAGGAGATACTGTCTGTTCCAGTATGAAAAAGATTATTTTATACTTGCTTTTTTGACTGTTTTTTGGGTGGTCTTAGCCATGCCACTGGCATGTGCAGACAGAGGAATATTTGTTAGTACTAGTTCACCTTAGCAGAACCTTTTGTTACTCAGGAAAGATGCACACTGGATTTTTGTGGATTATCAAGAGACCATTAGAGAAGATGGCAGCCAGTACCTTGTCTCAGTTAAGGCTCTCCCCTTTCATTAACAATTTTTGCTCTGTGTATTGTCAGGTGAGCAAGCAGACCCCTGCAAGTTCCAGGCCTGCAACGAGTTCTCTGAATGCTTAGTAAACCGTTGGAGTGGGGAAGCTGAGTGTGTCTGCAACCCTGGCTACCTCAGCATCGATGGGCTGCCGTGCAACAGCATTTGTGACCTGCAGCCAAACTTCTGCCTGAACGACGGCAAGTGTGACATAAGCCCTGGGCAAGGGGCCATCTGTAGGTAGGTCACCCTGCTGCTGGAAGTTGTGCTTCCTGGATGAAAACTCCTGCTGTCCCCTCTGTTGTAGCATTGTATAAGAATTGCCCAAAATTCTGTGTAACACATGAGTAGATTGTGGTTATCATTCATGTTGTGCTGCTTACTGCAAGTCGTAGTATTAACATTAGTTTTCCTATGTATAGATCATAAATGAGACAGTAACAAATTCATAGAAAAGAAGCATCAGAAAATAAAAGTAACAAGGAATAGAGATTGTAATGGAACACACTCAGTTGTTCAAATCACTTTTATTGGCCTCTGGGGACAGAATTTACCTCCACCAGAGGTTTTCTCAAGTAGCAAAGTGTTTGATAGTGTTATGTCACCTATAAGAGTTAATTCCATAACAGAAATTTATATCTGAACATCACACTGATAGTGCATAAGCACATTTAATATACTGCTTTTGGTCTGGAAAAAAAGCATAAACGTAAATCAATGTACATTTGGGAAAACTCATGTGGGTTCATAAAAGGATGAAGGAACAGGCTCCAGATATTTGCTTAAAAAAAAAAAGATAGATGCATCTGAACAGGATTGCTGTATTTTGCAGGTAATCAAAAAGACTTTCTGCAAGATGCAGACAACTTGGTGATGCCCCTGACACAGCACTTTACTTTTTACTTTTAAAACAATATAATAGTCTATTTTGTAAAAATAAAATGTGCCTATCAACAAAAATTAAGAAAATTACCACAAACAATATTAGTACTACTAGTAGTTATTTATGTTTCTTCATGTGATTTTGCTTTTAAGTTTCACCTAGAAGTTCTCTAAAGTCAATCTTAGACTGTTAACAGAAGAAATAAAAATGGTTTTAAAACTTTAGAATTGGATATTATCACAGATGCATTATACATTTAAACATTTGTGTGATAGTGTTAATCAGAAGCAGGTACGTATCTGAAACCAAGCCTGTTCCAGTTCTACCTTTGCAGTGATGATATATCACAGGCAAGGCTCAATCAGGGCAGGAGTTTTTCCTCAGTCTAAGCACCTTCCAGTTTTAAAACCTCACAGGGTACTGTAAATTTCATAAAGCACAGGTGGTTTCCACCACAAATGCATTACCCTTTTGCTATTTTTCCTAACATAATTCAAATCTGTGATTCCACCCTGGAGAATAGGAGGCTCCTGGGAGAATCTTTCTGTGGCCTTTCCATACATAAAGGGGGCTTGAAAGAAAGGTGAAATCAAACCCTTTGGCGGGGTCTGTTGTGATAGGGCAAGACTGAATGGTTTTAAACTAAAAGAAGGTAGATTCAGACTAGATATAAGGAAGAAATTTTTTACAGTGGTGGTGGTGAAACACTGGAACTGGTTATCCAGAGAGACAGTAGATGCCCCTGGATTGGATGGGGCTCTGAGCAACCTGATCTAGTTGAAGATGTCCCTGCTCATTGCAGGGGATTAGATGATCATTAAAGGTATCTTTAAACTCAAACTGTTACATGATTATCTACCAAAATGTATGTCCATAACAAAAATAAAGAAAATTAGTGATTGGACAATGCAAAGATATTTTTGGAGTGATTTAACTGAGAGCACATCATAACAGGAACTTAAATACATTAACCAAAGCTTTTGCTGGTGTGTAATTTCCCTGTGTTTCTTTGTGGCAGGTGCCGTGTGGGAGAGAACTGGTGGTACAGAGGGGAGCACTGTGAGGAATATGTGTCTGAGCCACTGGTTGTGGGTATTGCAATTGCTTCTGTGGCAGGATTCCTTCTTGTGGCATCTGCTGTCATCTTCTTCTTGGCCAGAACCCTTCGAGATCAGTACACAAAGAGTGAGACTGGGGACTCCCAGGGGTAGGTGACACCATCTAATATTTTAGAACACATCAGCTACAATAAGGATAATTCTGTCCTAAGTCTTATATCACACGGTTTACAAGCAACAGGACGTACAGGCACCTCCAAATGCCGGGCTTCCTTAGTCTGTCTGCTGCCCTTCCAGGCTGCAGAGAAGCTCACAGTGTGTTTATTGCTCCCCCAGGCAGGGTGACAGCCTCTCGTCCATTGAGAATGCAGTTAAATACAACCCCATGTATGAAAGTGACACGACTGGCTACAGCCATTATTACCGGAGATATCCGCAGCTAACGTCCTACAGTTCCACCAGTGCAGAGACATCCACAGACTACAGCAGTGAAGAGATCAGGCACATTTATGAAAACAGTGAGCTTACTAAGGAGGTAAATGACCTTGTTTTCATAGTGGCATGGGAAAGATCATGGAAACAGTAAGCTTATTCCACACTTCTAACCTCAGAGGTGGGCCCGATCTTTCCCCGGTGTCTATGCTCCAGATAAACAGGCTGCAGCTGCTGCAACTATTTAAAAGAAGACAGAAAAACTTGCTTTCCCTGCTTGCTTTTGGAGAAAGTTATGGTTTTGTTCTGACCAGTAATGAATTTCACATAATACAGGACCTGACCCCTTAGGTAACTTCATGGGAGTTGGGGAGGTTTGATGTATTACTCGACACAACATTTACCTTTTAAAGCCAACTCTCTTAGGTAAGAGTAGTTGCACAGTGAAAAATTGGTACATCCAGGCCTTTTCACAGGAAGCTTTTTTTTTTTGGGTGTTTTCTGATTGTTTTTAAAGTTTAAGTCTTTCTATAACCTGCAAGTTAGATCACATCTTATTTCTTCCTGTATACACAGTATCCAAGGGTTACTGTAGAAGGCTAAAGAGAAGGGATTTACATCCCAGAACTAACCACAGATCCTTAAGCAACTGTGAGAGGTATGAATCCAGCGTATAGCTGGAAGGCTGGTAGGTAAAGTATCTCTGAGACATAAATGGTTTTGTGAAAGCCTATTGAAATGCTACACACTGTCCAAACCCTGGTTTTTATTTGAAAGTGAAGTATTACTGAAGTAAAATGAAGTGCTTCACTTTTTTTTTTTCATTTAGAAAAATTAAAATAAATAAAAAAGAAGAATTTTAGCATCGGAGTGCCCAGTTTCAAGCTCCACTCTTTGAAATAGCAACACATAGGAGCTTTATTTCCCCAAACCCAGAAATCAGTTATTTCAGTAGCATTCTGATTTCTATTATGTACTTACAATTCTGTTTATTGTATTCTAGGAAATTCAGGACAGGATTCGAATTATAGAGCTCTACGCTAAAGACCGCCAATTTGCAGAGTTTGTCAGGCAGCATCAAATGTGAGTGAAATGTCTTGTCTGAATAACTAACTCCTTTGATATTTTGTTCTGTGGCCTTTACATTACTGTATTATATTTTAAAGTTCTAGAAATGCTAGGACACTAGAGGCAAAGACTTCAACATTATTTTTGAAGAGGTTCAACCCTTTTACAGTCTTTAATAATCCCAGCAGTCCCAAGGAAAAAAATAAAAAAAAACAGTGAAGAGGAATCCCAGAGTTAATGGGTGTCAGAGCTCTGACCTCAATTCAGGTCCTTGAAAGCACAGCTAGAATCTTATTAATTCTTCTGGTGTAATTCCCATTGCCCAGTGCTTTGTTTAAAACTGGAAATTTTAAAAAGCCAAAACAAAAATGTTAGTTTGCCTTGCGTTCTCAAGATCTGGCAACTGACCAGCACCAGACAGATCATTGGTATAGTCCTGTCTGGTATGGTGGGCACCAGCTGTAACAGAAATGTTACAATTCCAAACATTTAATCAATCCGGGCTGTGTGCTTTGATGAAAGCTAAGCAGAAGGAAGGTCCTCAAAGACTGAATTATTAGCATGAACTGTATTCCTGCTGTAGGAAGCAGCAAACCACAACTTGCTGGGTTACTTTGAATAATACTGTAGTACAATTCCTTGGCATCCTATTAAATATATATACGGCAGCAAAATCTCATGTTCCAGATCTTCAGCAATATTTTTTAATTGAAAGGAACAGCAGTTCCCATTTTTCCATGTCAGTAGTTAATTTTTTTGTCTTGAAAAGAATCAGCATCTAGATTTTCCACAGCTGGAAACAGTAAGGGCTGCCTTGTATAAGCCTTGAATCCAGTGCTTGAAAGAGATGAACTTAACCACTGCTTTTCTGTTTTTCATTTTAGGAAGCTGCTTTAAGAAAAAAAGAAATTGATAGAATACACGTGGGAGATAAACGCTACCTTGCTGCCCCAGCAATGGGCTCAGATGTAACTGCAAAGTTACTTATAGTCTTAAAATTGCATGGATGGATACAGATGTTTTCTAAATGAATGGCTAAAATGTCCAGATGTCTGTTTGTCTCAGTTTCTTCTGGCTTCTCCATGTAAACTGACACTTTTAAGAGGTAATCAGGAGTGGCAGAGGTTATGAAAGTTCATTGCTCTTTAACTTCAAAATGGACATTGAAAGATTTTGTATACAAAGGCAAAAAAAAATTTCTCAGATAAGAAAAGATACATGCACAATCAAAATAAAATGCATATTGAAAATCCCTGCCTGACATTTTGTCCCCTCACTGGAACTTCCAGTGGAAATTTTATGGGTATAAAACACTAGCAGAAGGAAATATTTGATTTGCAAATGAACGAGTTGTAGGGGAGAACTATTGTGCTAGAGTTATGTTAGCATTATTTTAAAGCATTCATGAAATTTTAAAGCAGACACAACCAAAACCTCACTGGAAAAGTTTTTCTTCTGTACAGATGCCTGATGTACATTTTGCTACCTGGCATTAACAAAGCAGAGGAGAGCACCGAGCCTGCAGCCCCCTGAGGGCTCTCCCTGGAATACAGGGAGCCTTGGCCAGGCAGGACAGTGCTTCTGCAGCACACTGCAGTGTCTTTAAAGCCAGGATGGGTGGTTCTCCAGCTCATTCTGGCAGACACACAAGCTGGGGCACAGAAGGTCTTCTATCGTACAAATGTTCTGTGAAGCTTAAGTGACTAACGTTGATTTTTACTCTTTTTTTTGTATGTAGACATTTTGTTTCATATTTTGTAAGTTAATTGCATTATTTATTTGTTGTGTGTCTCCTTCCCCGCTTGTTTTCATAATGGATTTAGTTGTTGAAATAGAATGATGACTAGTTTTAATAATGAAATACTACGCTGGTATTTGTACCCATTCTTTTATATCTATATTATATTTAGTGTTTACTCAGTGTTGAATTCAGCCAACTAATATTTGAAATTGCTGTACTGGGCAGTAGCCTGCCATGAGTTCCCTTTCAAAATCAGGTACTTCAATCCATGCACATTTGGTAGATGTCAGCACTTTCCTGTGGGGAAGGGAAAAACTGAAATTATTCTTAGTTTATTGGAAATCAGCATAGAATCCCTTAAACAGAAGAAGCCTAAAGCATTTTGAAATAGCTGAATTGAGAGGGGGGCTTCCAAGTAAAGAAATGGAATTTTATCTTCAAGTTATGAAGAAAATTCTGACTATATGTTAAGCTGTGTGTGGGCTCTGTTCAGTCACCCAAGATCTCTTGTTTAAGTCATTTACACAGCCGTCAGAGTTAGGGCATCAATTACAATCACATTACCTTGTGCTAGCAAAAAAGGCCAAGTGATTTATTCCTACAACATCTGTAGTTCTCGGCCCCCATGTGCCAACAGCCACCTGATACTTTCTAGAGTTAAGTGACAGTGAGAATTACTTGGTTGTCTTTAGGCAGCTTAGCTAAACAACAGAATATTTCAATGCAATTTTTCTGTGTGTCCTGGAGAGCCTCACTGGATCACTTGTGTAGTACTTTCTTGCCTTGAGTGGCAGGGGATGGGTATCAGAGCCACACATCTGTCAAAGAAATACTTCTATAAACCACTGAAAGCCAAATAATGCCAGACAGCAGGAAATATTATGGTGCTGCTGAACATTGTGACCAGATGTTATGAGACAGAGTTCTACTGGCAGGCCCACAGGCTGTCAGAGCAGCTGCTCCAGAGCTTGAGGCACAGCCCACTCCTTGTTGCCCTGCAGCAGCACGGCGAGCCATCCCATAGCACCAGGGCCTGTGATCAGAGCAGAGGATTGCTGGGCTCAGGGTGGGCAGCAGCTTGGGATGTGTTTCTGTGCAGCCCTGGGAGATTTGGTGCTGCTCCTGCTGGGTGCAGCAGTGGATGGCAGCTGGGATCACAGGTTTTCATGGTATTCTGCTGTGCACAAGCTGAGATGAGGCTTGCTTATACTGAGTGTGAGGTGTTTCAGTGAATACACAGTGGTATTTTATTTGTGTGTGTGTATACATATGAACATATGTTTTCACTACAATAAAAAATTATTTCCAAAATATTTTTTCTATAATATTCATGTAGAGACTATGAGTTTGACATGGAGAAGGGGTCTTAGCCATGAGCATTTGTGTGTGTGTAGGATCAGAAAATTGTTTTAACAGAGTTGGCTAAGCTGTTAAACTCCTTTGCTAACAAAAGTGCCAAATATATTTCATTAACTATAGCAAGGTTATAGACTGAAAATTTGTGCTGGAAAGCACATTCCTGGGTGTTTGCTTTCTGTTAAACTCTTTTGAAGATGTTTCATCCCTAATCAAAAAACCAAGAACGTAATGAATGATTGATTTTTCTTTGGTACTTTCCCAATCCAAGGCAAAGATAAAGAACTCTAAATATTCTAACAAAGCAAATAAAAAAAACCCCAAAACAACAAAAAAAGCCAACCACCACCCAATCAGCTCTGTACAAGTCTATCAATCTATTATCAGTTAGCATGCATTTTTTCACTTGATAAAAGTAAAAAGTGCAGGTTCTAGTAACTTGGCTTAATTTAAGAGCATGAAATAAAGCAGGAATTGTTTGCTAAATGCTGACATGTCTGTCAGCATCTGTGGCTCCCCTCAAGGCTGGAAACACCGGAGAAAATGAGGTCCCCCAGGATGCTACCAGCTGCCCCTTTAACAGAGATCTCAAACATGCAGCAGCCCAGGCTGGATCTCTCAAGGCCTCATTTCTAAACCTCAAGGCACTAATCCACAGTGGCAGAATTCTACCAGGGCCTGAAATTCTAACAGAAAACAAGTGTTCAGAGCTGCAAGTCTAGCACATAAGCCTTTCAGGAATTGTGTGCTTGTCCTGTATTTGCTTTTTCGCAGAGCACGGAGCCTTTTCCAGCAAGAAGCTAAAAGATACCAAGTAACTGAGTCTCTATTCCATGAAGCCCCAGACTGTGAGCTCCATGTACTGTGAATAACAGTTTAGTTCCAGAAAAAAAGGCTTTTTCAGGTTCTCAGATACAGCTGAAACTACAAATTTCTCCGATCTCCTCCAGATCAAGGAAGGACATGAATAAACTTTTTAGGTTTTAAGAACTTACAGCTTAAATGTTCGAATGAAAATAATAATCACGGCTTTCATTCACATTTCCCATCAGGCTGTTGGAATTGATCCTTATTCTAAAGGGCTGCAGGAGTATGACAGGGCTTTGAGCCCTCTGCCCCATGGATTCTGTGAAGAGAGGCACACAAAGGTGTTAGAGCTCCAGCACAGGGACAGTCATCTCATCCTATAAAACAAAACAAAAATATTCACCAATACCAATTTATTTGTCTATCTGTAAGCATCATAGGACAGACACAGACTGACTCTGTACCACAAAGGAAATGGGTCAGGGTATCATTACTGCTTTAAATATTAGTAAAAAACAGGGCTTTTGTGGTGTTTGGTTTGTTTGAAGAGTACTACAACAGCAGCAGCATTCTGTCTTATCCTTCTGCTACTTGATCCAGTTTGGGAACAGATGCATCATCTTCTATATAACATTGATCCATTTGCTTTGGTTTCATAACTGGAAAAAAATTCCAAAGCTATTCCTGTGACAGGATTTTTTCATTTGTCAGACCAAGTGGGAAAGTTTTTGTTTTGCCATATTTACCACTTATTAGCTCTCCTATTCCAGATTATTAATGACCCCCAGGAATTTTTGTTGGGTTCCTCTCCTCTTGGGCCCTAGTTTGTGCTGCTACTCACCCTCCTTGCTGGGTCACCCACCACACTGAGCAGTGCAGGCAGCTCTGCTTGGAGGATGGCAGCTGGTTGCAGGACTGAAATGTCACTTGCCTGAGGTGTTACAGCTGTTCTGAGCCTGTTCCTTTAGTTTTCCTGTGTTTCCAGTTAAACATAAAAGTAGATTTCAACTCTTAGTTGTTTCAGGATGAGAAAAGCCCTCAATACTAGAATTTTGTGAGACAGATGACATAAAAGTAGATTTCAACTCTTAGTTGTTTCAGGATGAGAAAAGCCCTCAATACTGGAATTTTGTGAGACAGATGCTGTTGAGTTTGCATGGGTCCCCAGGACGAGGTGAGAGATGAGTGAATATGACTCCATGTTCTTAGAAGGCTAATTTATTATATTATTATATTAAAGAATGCTATACTAAAACTATAGAGAGGATAGAGACAGAAGGCTAGAAGGAATGGTAATGAAAACTCATGACTCGCCAGAGTCCCGACACAGCTGGACCATGACTGGTCATTAAGTAAAAACAATTCATATGAAACCAATGAAACAATCACCTACCACATTACAAAGCAGAAAACAGCAGAAGCAAATCAGATAATTATTATTTACATTTTTCTCTGAGACCGCTCAGTTTCCCAGGAGACGAATCCTGGGCAAAGAGAATTTTTCAGAAAATATCACAATGACAAGATGCCAATTTATATTTTTTTAAAAATCAGTTCTATCATCAGCATATCTAAGGACTTTGTTTCTGTGCTAAATATATTATGCTGGAGTAAATTACACTTAAAGCCTGACCTTTTAGAAGGGGACACTGCCCCCAGCTCTCATTAATATGACTAAACCAACACAATATGACTATCTGTCTTGAATCACTGGAGTTTTAAATGTTGTTCAAAAATCTATTAAGCACAAATTAGAGTTGGTGTTAATTAAGCTTGCAGTTTCATCACCACAGCTGATTACCAGGTGGGGAAACCATGCCTTTCTGGAAAGACTGACATAGCTTGAACAGAAATTAAAATGGGAGCAAAAAGGATATATCTATACATCAAAACTTTATGTGGTAGCACAGGCTTGTGCCTGGATAAAAGAGAGCAAGTGAAGAGTAGATTTGCAGAGGTGAGCTTACAAGCAATCTGAAGTGTGGAAGATTTCCATCTACTCATGGAAATCTCTACTATAGCTATGAGGAAATTCACTCAGCCCCACCTAAAGATTACACAGTGATTGTATGGTCTCTTGTCTCAGAAAGGGAGGGGGATGCAGAACACTTCCAGCAGCAACACAGGACTCGTTTCCTACTGTGACCTGCAGGTAACTGACTGCACCTGACTGTTTGTAGATCCCATCATGTGCTCAGTAAGGCAGTGACTTTTCCCTAGTTTGACATGGAAAGATCAAAATGCTTTGATCCAAAAGAATGCTTTATATAGTCCTCCAGTAAACCAGAGACTGCTTCACAGCTTTTCCTTTTTCCTTTTTATTATTTATCATTATTTAAAGTTATTATTATTATTTAAAGTTTTGATTAAAAAATTAAACAAGAACAACCAGAAACAACAACAACAATGACAACAAAAATCAACAAAACCTTCCCATGCTTATTTTTAGTGTTTGCTTTTTACCTGCCCCTGTTAGGCATGGAGACAAACACACAGCCATGATGGGAAGGCAGTGTGGTCTACAGAACTCTTCCACATGAAACTCTCACTTTGCACTTCTTCCCACCACAGCAAAATTTATAAAGTCAGCATGCAAATATCTGTTAAAAAAACCCATCAAGTTTCAAAAACGATCCCACACTGGAATGTCCTCCCAGGGCTGGCAGGGAATGTGAATGGGAGCCTCACAAACACAGAAACTGACCCATAAGTCATTAGCATTATGCAGATAGCTCCTGATGGGACATGCCTAATGCAACACGGAATACACCAAGCTAACAAAAGCAGAAGCAGTGGGCATGTGACTTCAGAGTAAGGTGGATGGTAAATGCTTTGGGATTATCTCTAAGAACATTGATGCCACCACGGACATTTTCCAAAGAGCAAAGCACATGAGAGCTTTTCACTTATCTGCCAAGAAAAGAAAGGAAATAGAAGCTCCTGGTAAGAGAACCAGTCCACAGTTTGCAGGCAGACCAAACCAGTCTCTAAAAGGGAATAATTTAGCCTGGAAAGATGGAATAAAGTCATGTCAGGAAAAACAAAGTAAACATAGAGGTTATATTTTAAAGGTTTTTCCCTCTATTAAGAAGAGGAGAAATACCCCACAGTCACTATGATTTGATAAATCTTCTAGTCAAGCTAAGCTTTTATGTAATTCTCCTTAATATTGCTTTGCAAAGGGGAGGGCAGAACTGAGAATTTTTCCCAGTCAGACCCTCTGCAGCCTGCTCTGCACACAGAGCTGAGCAGGGAGGAAGGTTTAAGTATGCTGTGTGCATTTATCCTTGAAGGTTACATGGAAAATTCTACTTCTGAAATATTAGTCAGGGATGTGCATGGCCCAGTAGAGCAGAGGTTCTGCAGCTTCACTGCTCAGCACCTATTCAAGAACTGTCTTGTATCGGGTACTCTCAGCTGTCTGTGAACAAACTTGTGAGCTGTGCACTGTTTCTCTCCAGATGGAGCACTGCAGCACCCCTTGTCATCATTTAAAAACCTGATTAGCTGTGATGACCAGTAAGTTTCAAAAGCACTTAACAAAACTTCCTGCTCTTTAATTACTTGTGTGTACAAATCGGGTGATTTTATAACAGGAAAAACTTGGTCATGGGGGAAAAACCTTGCAACCCAACAAAAATAGGAGAGCCGTTCAGCCCTGTAATACAGAAAACCAAAGATGAGAATTCTCCAACACTCATATGAACTTCTCATGAACATTTCTTAAACCAGCTCTAGTTAACCAAGCCTCCTGACATACAGTGGTTGTGCCCTGTCCCCATTCTACTCTGGGAAAAGGGAAATCTCAAATTTAGCAAAGATCAGTCATTAGAGGATGCATTCAGGGACCAAATCTGAAAATCAGAAGTATTTATTCAGCTTTAAATGAAAGATCATGCAAAATCCCACAGAAAATTAATGCTGAAAAACAGAACTGGTACAGCAAAATGCCATTACTTTGGCTGCATTTTATAAGACCATCAGCTGTCTGGGATTATTTGATCATTTCAGGACATCCGCTGATCTCCAGGGGGCTTGCCTCAAAACCCTGCCACTCTGAGCTTTCTTCCCTCTACTTAGTATCAAAGAGCTTGAGCTTAGAAAGGCCTAATCAAAACTTGGTTCAAATTAAAGAAGCAGCCCAGCCCACTAGCAACAGCAATGCTAATTGCTCTACATCCACATCAATTGGATCGCACTTTGGAGTGCTTTTGAGGCTGGGAGGAAGGAGCAAAAGATGGGAAGAAAAACAGAGAAAAGACAAAGTTGCAGTGTGAGTCAGCAACAAGAGCTCAGATACAAGTTTACGTGAAACTGTAGAAACCGAAAGAAGTCTCATCCACCTGTGTTTATAAGGGTCTTTCCAAGGGCAGGACAAAGAGCTGATGTCAGCCTACTCTAGTTAAAAGACTTTTGGATGTTTCCAGCTGATTAAATCTCATTTGCAGCTGCTTTCAAAATATGTTATAGACAAACAGGGTTCTCCTGAGCATCAGCAAGAAGACCAAAGCAACTACAGCCTAACAAGCAAGTGTCAGCTCAGTAAAGTTGCTATAAAATATGCAGACCACAAACAGTTGATATCACACTAGAGGGAAGACTGCCAGCTTATATTGGGTTCAGGGCAGTGGTCTAGGGATAAAGATCCCGTGTAGGGTAGCACAATCTGAAGTTCAGTGAAGGCTAACTTGCCCTCCTGGGTAAGCTATTCTACATGGACTGTGAGGTTGCTCAGGTTGTTTCCAGACCAGGGAACCTCACAGAGCACACAAGTGATGGTTTTATCAGTGCTGATCTGCCTTGATCAGCAACTGGGCTCTGCCAAAGCATGTTGGCTGCAGCTGGCAATTGTTGGCTTGGAAAGGATCATCCCATGGGGCAGCCCACATCACCCTGGCCATTTCACCTGCACTGACAGCCGCTGTCCTCTCAGCAAGACCCCTATCCACACCTTCCCTTGGGTAGGGAGGCCAAGCTCCCTCCCCAGTGATGACAGGCAGTTCATTTTGGCCAAGAAGGGGTGCCCTGGCTCTGGTGGGTACTCACATTTGGCACACACAGCGTTGTACTGGTTCTCCAAATGGCACAGGCTGGAAGGGTGCTGGGCACTGCTCACTGCCAAGGGTGGAAACACTGCAGCTGTCAAACAGACATTTTCCAGTGTCTCCTGAGCAGACAGAAGCACAAAGAGAAAAGTGTTCTTTGGTTTCAGGATCTGACAGTTCACCTCATAGGTTATGGAAAGTGGTTTCATGTCTGACTCCTCTGCAGAAGACGTCAACTACTGGTACAGCTTTTGCTTCTTAAAGGAAGACTGAATACAGTCCTATTCCAACTGTCAGCATAAAGTTTGACATTTTACTTGCTTTTTTTTAAATTACTTTGAAATTATTTCTTTAAACCATGCTGGATTATCTTATGCCTATCACTTTGAAAAAGCAACCTGTTAACTCACATGTTGACACATCACTGAGAAATCTGCCACAAGATGTTTCTAGAGGCACTGTCTTGTAGTCAGGGTGCTTTCTGCAGAAAGTTGGCAAACATCACCCTGGACACTTAGTAGGCTGAAGAACATCCAGCCATTGAACAAATCCCTGAGTGTTGCCCCAGAATTGATCATGACCCAGTCTTGAAAAATTCTGATTTAAGTAAACTCTTTCAACACTAATCCTTTCCTTCACACCTCCCTCCAAAACTGCCATCTACCCACAGGGTCACCAAGGTCCAATCTTTAACTGTATGTTCAATAAACTGTGCTCCCAGAACCTCAGAACAGTCTCATCCCAGTCTAGTAGATCCTTGCCAGCAGTGATAGTAAGCA